AAGGTTTATTGGTTTAGAAGATCTGAAATACTTGATTATATCAGCAGTAAATCTTCAGTCATTTCAAAGAATACTTAATTTTTGCACCCAGTATTTTTGCTGGTTGAGGTTTTGCTTGCTTTGTTTTGGAATGGTTATTTTGCTGAATTATTGAAATGACTTCTGAAATCCTACTCTTTACACTAAGGCTTTTCTGAATTTAGTCCGTCAAGACAAGAAGCACTCAATGAGACCCTTTTGTCACAACAGTATTTCCCCTTTCACATTTCTACATTTTACAAATATAGTATAATGACTCCCCATTCATCCCACGTTGTTGGGGAATGAAGCATTCCACAGAAGTGTATTTTCTGGATAAGTGAAGCTTATTCCTTCAAGCCTTTTGAAACTTTCACAGAATCAAAGAATTGGAATGGATCTCAGCAGCCATCTAATCTAACCCATTCCTGAAAGGATTTTAGATATCCTGAATGGATTATCTTCTTAAAATGCATAGCGTGTTCTTCTTCCTTTGTAAACAGTATTTACTGAACATATTTTAACTCTTTATTGATGACTTAGAGTTATCATTTTTAACATCTTTTATCTCATTCTTCTGTAATATATTCAGGGGCCAGGTGCAATGTGCATATAATATTGGACCTGGAGTCAGGAAGACTTAAATTCAAGCACAACTTCAGACATTATCTAGTAATGTGTCTGCAGGCAAATCATTTAGCTGCTGTCTGCCTCGGTTTCCTCATCTGTAAAATGGGATAGATACTAGCACCTGTCTCCCAGGATTGTTATGAGGATCAAAGGAGATATTTGTAAAGTGCTTTGCAAACCCTAAGTTTGATTTTGATGTTTAGACATTTCAGTTGTGTCTGACTCTTTGTGATGCCATTTTGGGGTTTTCTTGGCAAAGATACTAGAGTAGTTTGCCATTTCCTTCTCCTGCTCAATTTATAGATGAGGAAACTGAGGCAAACAGGGTTAAGTGACTTGTCCAGGGTCACAGCTAGGAGGTATCTGAGGCCAAATTTGAACTCAAGAAGATGAGTCTTCCCGACTCTAGGCCCAGCACTAACCACTGTGCAATCTGGCTTCCCCTTGCAAACACTAGAGCACCATATAAATGCTAGCAAGTGAGATATGTTGGTTATTTGTCCTCCTAACAAATGTCCCTAGACTGCTGTGCTTTTCTCTTTTCTGCTTTATATACTTCTTTTGTCTCCTCTCTGATGTTACTTATTGTCAGAGCTTGGCATCATGTACTAACATCATTACTTATCACTGGTGGAAATCTGTTGTGATTTTATCTGGTGCATTATTGTTGTCTGGTTGTAAACCCAGGTTTGGCCTTGCTGCTTCCTTGGAATAAAATGGCCTTTGTGACAGCTATGCTATCCAGGTGTCTTTTTCACTTACTTTTTAGTTTCCATCTATGTTCTGGCTATTTGGAGTATATATTTAATTCAACGCACATTTATTAGGTGCTTACTATGCTTAAGTCACTGTGCTGGGGCAACAAGTGATGAATAGGTAAAATTACATGAAAAAATATTTATTAAGTGCATACTAAATGCCAAACAGTGTGCTAAGTTCTTGAGATACAGATATTTAAAAGGAGGTAGCTTATTTCTTCAAAAAGCTTCCCATAGCAGAAGACAACACATAATGGAGTAGTGACCAGGGAAGGTAGGGAGTTTGTTCTTGGACATTGGAAAAGGGGACAGTAGATATTCATATGAGAAATATATGGGTTCTGACAACAAGGTTGGGTCCTAAGGCCTGCAAAGGTATGTGGATTAATTTGCCAAGGGGCAGAGAGTGTGGATTTCTGGAAGACCAGTGGTGTGGAGGGACAAGTTGGCAGAAGCAGGTCAGGCAACTGGATTGTTAAATGGGATGGTAAGCTGCAGGCATGGACTTCATGGTCCAAGTGTCTATGACCAGTCAATAGATACAGTGGCTTAAGTGGGCTAATTTACATCTGCTTATTACTTCCTTCCAGCTCTTAAGAGGGGAGAGCTAAACAGACTTGGATCCTAGAAGCTAACTCAGAAGTAGTGGACAGGACTTAGAGAGTCACCTTTTGTTACCCTCTTCCTAACGTAATAGAGATCCTTCTTCCTTCCTTCTTTGTTAACTGACTTGCCCAGGGTCATGCAGCTAGTAAGTGTCTGAGGCTGGATTTGAACTCAGGTCCTCTTGACTCCAGGGCTGATGTTCTGTCTCCTTCACCATCTAACTGCCCTGAGATTCAAGGTTTTCTGTTTTGCTTTCTGTTCCAGAGAGAAGGAATAGAGAGCTAGAAGATGGAATCACTCCTTTTAGGGTTCACTGATGGGGCCAGTCCTCCTGGCTCATACCCTTAAGGAGTTTACCCTCTACTGAGGGTAGGGGTGAGAATTATAACATTAATCAGTCAAAAATTATTTATTAGTCTCCTGTTATGTACCAGGTACTGTACTAGGTACTGAGGATACAAATACATAGGATGGAAACCATCTCTACTTGCAGTGAGCTTACTTTCTAATGGGAGAGACAAAAAGTACCTACAGAGTGTCCCAGAAGTCTTGGCAATTTAAATAATATCTATTAAAGACTTAAAGTTGTACTGAGACTTTTGGAACTGCTTGTATAAAAATATATACAGTATAAATATAAAAGTTGATAAATAAACATCCAAAAAGTAGTTTGGGAGAGAGGACCATAGCAATTGGGGAGATCACGAAAGACTTCACACAGATGATGTGCCTGACCTATGTCTTTAAGGAAGAGAGGGACTCTGAAAAGTGTAAGTAGAGTCAAACAGGTAGCCCAGTTACGACTGATGGTGAGATCTAGGCCATATTATGGGCTCTTGATGTAGACTGAAGATGTAGGTGATGGGAATTGAAAAGGTTGTTAAATGGGAGGCCAAGGTGTTTTCAAAGGCCATCTAAATGTATTTTGAAGCTGTCAGTTATGATGGAGGCGATGTGAGAAGGGAAACCTATTAGTCAGGTGCTGACTTCTTGAGAAAAGAGAGAATGAGACCTACAGGTTGTAAGAGCATAGCCACAAGGAGTGTGGCTGAGTGATGTAGACAGAGTGAACCTCAAAGCAAGTGAGATCACTGAGTAATGGTGTCATTGAGGGCAGGGGGAGTCAGGAATAATACCTAATGTTCCTCCTGGACCAGTGTGTTCCCAAGGTTGGGGGTGGATTGGGAATGAGAGAAGTCAGCACTGGAGAACTCTGGTCAAAGATGGGATGTCTTCAGGAGACAGCCAGATTTCATTATCATAAGAAGATAGAAAGTGGGTGTTGGAAAGAAGAGATCTGAGATGAAGGGGGATTTGTTAATGTTAGAGTTGGATTCTAAAGGACAGAATGAAAGGCAGGGAGAAGGTAAAAGAGGAGTGAACTGGATGGGGACAAGAGTCTAGGGAGAGATAGCAAACAAAAGCCTCTCCTCCTGAGGGCAGTCATAGGGATTGGAAGTCTAGGAGGTTGACTTTGTAATCACAGAAGTGCAGAAGTGCCAGGTGATTAGAATCCACATCCTCCGGCTCCATTAATGATGGAGGGCAGGGTTACTAGGTATAAAGAGGCAGCATCATTTGGCACAGTGTGTGTAGTGCTAGATGTAGAGTTAGGAAGATCCAAGTTTGAATCCTGCCTCACACACTTATTATCTGGGTGAATAAGGCAATTCATTTCTCTCTCTTTGCCTCAGTTTCCTTGATTGTAAAATAGGGATAATAATAGCACCTATGTCACTTGGTTGTTGTGAAGATCAAATAAAATAACATATTTTGTAAACCTCAAAGTGTTAGATGATTCTCATGTTAATAGAATCATGTCTTGAACTAGGAGACAGTATCTCTGCTGTACTTTTCTGGTCAGACCACCAAAATGCATGAGACATTTTAGTGCCAAGAATAAATAAATTCTCTGTCATTTGTCTCATTATCTCATCTTATTTTTCATTTACTGACAAAAATAATTGAGGGTTATAGGTTGTGTTGTCTAATTGTGGAAAGGGACAGTACAATTTTTATGCCAATGTGTAGAATGATAGTATTGTCTGTCTGAGTTACAGTAGATTTTTTTTTACTCTATTTTTTAAATTAATTCATTTTGAATTATCAACAATCACTTCCATAAACTTTTGAGTCTTAAATTTTTCTCCCCCTCCCTCCCCATCCCCTTCCTCAAGATGGTACAGTAGATAATGATCAGGATAAATAATATAATTTACTAGAGCTGATTTTATTAATTCTGTCTTTAGAGGCCAGAGACCAAAAATAGGGGTGACCTTAGCTCTTCTCAGCTGGTTTGCCTTCTAATAGGTTCTGATTGAAAATAAAGGATTGACAAAGTGTGAGTCTAGCTATATCTAAGTAGCCATTATTCTTTCTAGTTGAGAAGAGTAGTAGAAATGGTTTTAAAAAATGCCACTCAGACAAGTACTTCATCTCTAATAGTGGAGGTATGGAGTCTATACCTAAGAATTGTCACTTTATAATAATCTGTTCTATTAATAGAGCATTTAAACACATGTAAGTGGAAATTAGCTATACATTTTAATTATTGTTCCTATATATGGTACATAATAAAGTATAAAATACCTTCTGCCTTAAAATAGTTTTAGCAGAGTTAATTTTCTTCGTAAAGGATTTAGAAAGTATTTATGGTATGTCAGGTGGGATAATAATAGCAATTGCTAATCATTATTATTATTTTATCTTAGATTTACCTAGGGCCTTTTTATAGAAATCCTGAGAAGATGAACTGCAAAAAGGAGCTCTTACAACCTAAAATGACAATATAAATTAACATTTTTTTATCTATATATTTCAATTTGATTTCCCTTAAACTATAAGTTGGTGTGAGGGGTCAGCATTGTTTTGGAGGAGACATCTGAAAGCAGATAATTCAAGATAACTGGAAGTTGTTTCTTTATTTCTAGTTAATCAGATTAGCTAAGAAAACAACTTATGTTTGAATTTTTCATTTAATTCTTTCAGTGTACGGGATGACAGAATTCGAGTAGAAAGGATGGATAACCTTTATTTTGAATACAGTCACGCTTTCCAGCAAATCACTGAGTTTTATGCAGAAGTACTTGATGTCAAAGGTACAGGTTTTATTCTTTCTAGGTAAAATTCTAGTATTTTGTTGAGTTGAGATTTGGAGAAAGGTGTAACTGCTTAATTCTCAATCTACAATAAATAAAAACTATGTAGGAGTCCTAAGTCAGTTAATTTCATTAAAGGGCTTCTTACCCTATTGCTACCACTTTAATAATATATGTGTATCATAACTGTTTACCATTTTAGGTGATAGATTCTTGTGGGAGTAGATGGTTACATATGTTCTTGTCAGCTTTTTGCCTCCCCCTGAAGAGGGCATCATCAGTCACCATTAGTGTCCCTGCAGTGGCTATGGTTCAGGGTAACTTAGGTCATCTGAATTTAGAGTAGTTAGACTATCATTCATTTATTTATTTATTCGTGCAGCATTTATTCAGCTGGAACATGTCATTTTTGGAAATTTTTAGTACTAGTACCTAATTTTAATAATATGGTCATCACAAAATATGTGACTATATAGTAATGCGGGCAACAGACATTACTAAGTTTTTCATATTAAGCTATAGAGTAGCAGCATACTCTGGTGGTTAAACCATTCATTTTGATTCAAAAGGCTTAAGATGAATTTCTGGATCCAATATTGATTTTCATATGACCTTTGGTTCTTTTTGCCCATTACACGAAAGGTGATTGATCATTTTTGATACCAGTATTAATTGAGATTTAGATTGAAAAGGATCTGGGATCGTTAAAATGATGATTGTTATTGACATTCATAAAAACTTGAAGTTGGAATCATGCTGCTCTTATTAGGAAACTTTTTCAAGGTGGCTGTTACTGATTTGTAAAAGGTTTCTTAGCAGATTTAAAAATTGTTCATTACTTGAATAATTATAAAATAAATGATATTTAATAAAATGTGTTTTATTTGTGGCAGATGATAGTTTTTAATGGAAGGAAATAATTTTTTTTTCTTAGCTTCCCAGAGTTTTTCTGGAATATTGAATTTGGATAAGCCTGTGATTTGCTCTTTGGCAGCAGTTATTCGATACCTTAAAGAATTTAATTTAGAAAAAATGCTCTACAATCCTAGGTAAGTTGTATTTTTTTTTTAAATCTAAAATTATTTTTAAAAGAGGGATAAGTTTACTAATTTTATTTTAAAATTGTATCTAGAAATTTCTGTTCCTCTAAAAGTTCACTTTTTATTTTTTTTTTAAAAGTACTTTCTTTGCAAGGAGAATTCTTTATTTTTGCTAAAATAGTTATATTAGCTTCAAATGGAAATATTAAGAAACACAAGTGGCTTTTGTCCATGCAAGCCATAGTCAATGTTTTGTACTTTGTACTGAAAGGATTTAGAGCTGAAAGGGGTCTTAGGTATTAACCAATTAATGTAATTAACAAAGAAACTGAGGCCCTGAAAGGTGAGACGATTGCTTCAGGGTTGCACAACAGAGTTGGGCTTTGAATCCAGGTCTTTTGACTCTAAATATCAGTAGTCTTTCTGTTACATTATTTAATTGAAAACAGAACTGGGGATAGCATGACTGAGAGACACTAAAAAATGTACTTGTGAATGTTCTCTATGCTAATTATTCTTTCAGATTTTTATCATAAAGATCTTCAGAAGGGCAGTTAATTTGACAGGTTTTTATGAGTGATTGATTTTGCAGATTTTTCCCCTAGTCAAGAATCTTTATTTCCCTTTCTTATGGATTAACTTGGGAAATGTGAATGTAGTCTAATGTTTAAAAGTAGATAATTAGAGTAAATCTGATAATTCTTATGCAAAGAGAAAAAAAAAAACCATGGAGTTGTTTCTTCTTCCTTTCTAACTCTTATCCCCAGCTCCATCACTAATTATCTTCTTTTCTCCTTGATCCTAGAAATCTTTCCTGAGACTTTGACTTGATTAACTCCTTCCGCAACCTGGGAAGGACTTTTGAGGGAAGGGCACAGATCCAGAAGTAGGATTCTTGTATTGAGGGAGGAAACTTTCTTGAAGGTAGTTTTAGGAAGGTTTAGAGGACAGACGATTTGAGAGTGTAGGAGATAAAGATGCTTTTCCCTGCCTTAGGGATGCTGGACTAGTAACGTAGGGGTGGATTTTCTTTTTTTGTAGTGCTTAATATAGTCTAGGGCAACATTGATTTTTGGGGCTTCCATGTTACTCAGATTGATTTTTCAGTGCACTAAAACACTTATATGTTTTGCACAGAAACTGTTGTCTAGCCATATCTCTCCATCTTGCATTTGTGAAGTTGATTTTTTTAATCCAAGTAGCATTTCTCCCTTTTTAAACTTCAACTTATTTGATTGGACCCATTGTTTAGCTAGCCATTGTTAAATCTTTTTGGATCTAGACTCTGTTGTTCAGCTTTATAGGCTGACCCTTAAAATTGTTTGTCATCAGAAAATTTGACAAGTATGTCATCTCTTCCTCCTTCCAAGTCATATCTTCAGCTAAGTCATGGTTGACAGACAGCACAGGGCCCAGGATGGATGGGGTATCCCATTAGAAATCTTCCTCCGTTTGACATCAGCCCATCAATAACTTCTCTTTGAGGATGGTCATTGAACTAGCTCTAGCCCACCTAAGTGTATTATCATCTACCACAAACACACCATGAGTTATTGTTAAGTGCATTGCTGAAATCTAAATATACTATGTCTGGAGCATTTTCCTGACTAATCAGTATCATCTAAAAAGAAAACGTATTTAATTTGTCATGAACTATTATTTTAAAACTGTGTTTTATTCATTTTTTTAATCCCTTTCTCCTCTTTTTTCTTCTGACAAATTACCCTCTCTCTGTATATAATCTTCATTCTCTTCCTGTTTATTAGCTCCTTCCTTACTGCCTACGCACATGCCCATATCTCCCTAATTCAGGCCATGCCTATTTTCTGTCTTGAGTTCTAGTCTGCATTACCAGTTACCTACTAGACATTTCCAGTTGGATATCTTGTAGGCCTCTCAAACTCAGTATGTCCAGAACACAGAGCTCATTTTCTTTCTTCCCAAACCCACCCTCCTAAATAGCTGTAATTTTGTTAATGGCACCACCATTCTTGCAGTTAACTGGGTTCACAACCTCAAAGTGATCCTTGGTTCCTTCTTCTCCCTCATGCCCAGGACTCATTCATTTGCCAGTTATGTCAACAAAAAGTCTTTCACAGCATCATAGCAAAACTCTCTTTGCCCTCCATATTTGTTTGAGGCAAATTCCAGAACTGGTAAACCATGGAGTCTTTTATTAATTTATTTATTTTTGGTAGCTCTCTGGGCTAACTCAGTTAACTCTTTCAAAAGACCAATACAACTATTTATACAAAGAACTATTAAGAAAAATCAAAGATTCTTTTGATTACTCTCTTAATTCTGTAATTTAAAAGGGTAAAGAGAAGCAGAGAAACATGAGATTTTTAAATTTCTTTGAAAATCCAAGTCATAGGTATATTTCTTTTAGGTTTTCCAGAATGAATTGACTTTAGACAAGATTTTTTACTCTAAGAGAACAATTTTACTTATAGAATAGCCATAAGTAGTATGTAGAATAGATAATACTCCTTTTCTGAAACTTCTTATTGTGTTATTGACTTGCATGCATATGAAAAATTAAGCAGTAGGAAAAGGTAGTAAAAATGTGTAATCTGTGGGGGTAATTCTAAGGGAACATTTTGTTTTTAGATATTAATTTTTTTACTTAACATTCTAAAGAAAAACATCCTAAAAAATGAACTTTATGTTCATTTAACTAATGGATGAGGGGTTATGATGGGAATTTTTAATGTTCTTTTTTTGTCTGAATGTTCAGAGGAATTGTGATTGATGTGTCTTTTGGAATTGTAATATTAGCAGACATTTTCTTTTTATTAATGTAAATATAATAAAGTACATAATACATTTATATTTATCAACATAAATATAACAATAAATTTCTTTTTACAAATTTCAAATTCTTTGATGAGATTCAGTAAGAGGATTTACTCTTGATAATCTTGCATCTCATAGTCCTTTTTTCTATCCCAGACGGTGAAGAAAGCGTTAGCTCTCTTATTGTCTTGATAATGATTGTTTAATACTACATGTTATGTCATGTCAGATTATCTTTACAGGCTGTGTTTTTGTTGGAATTATTAATATCAATAACCGTTATACTTGTTTACTGAGAAAGTTGTGTGGTTTCTATGGAAACCAATTTGAGATATAGATAACTCAGTATAGGCAAAGAAAAACAGTGATTAATAATATTAGAAAATTATGAAGAAAGTTACTAATAAAAACTTAGGAACTGTGGCAATAAGGATGCTCACATTTGTATACCCGTTTATACAGTGTAACTTAAGCACCAGTTCCTGCATGAAATCTCCTGGATTCTTACTAGATGCTAGTGCTTCTCCTAAAAAAAAAAAAAAATCACCTCTTTATTTATCTATCTGTTCATCCATTTATTTAGTATGAATTTATATGTCTATGCAGCCCTTGGCTTCAATAGCCCCTCTCAAAGATGCTGTGGTTACTGTTCCTATACCCTTAATAGGGAATGGAATCTTGGAAGAGAGGCAGTTTAAATGTCCTCTGGATAATTAACTGTTTTGACTGGAGAGAGACTCTTTGGTGATAAAAGACTAGGAAAATGTCTTTCCTAAAAGACTGATTGAGTTAACTGTCAAGGTGAAAGAGCTGGAAGATACATTTCTTGAGAACTGATTTTAATTCTTGTGCTGTGGAAAAGGTAGCCTAAACAGAATTCTCAAGTGTCTTTGACCTATCATGAAAGACCGAAATGGTAGGACTGTTTTTCCAGAGTTGAGAAGTCAGCAGTTGAAATTGATAGTTAGAAGTGTTTGTACACTTTGTCATTCTGATACATTTTTAAACTATCTAAATATATCTTTGTCTTTTTTGTTACACTGTTAGTAAATTGTATAGTCAGTAGTATTGATGTTCATTTAAGACTTCAATACTAGGGGATCTGAGAAAGAAGAAAGAAAACCTAGGAGAAAAATTTTATTTAGTTTATTCTATAAGCTAAAGTAGGACTGATTCTCATTGATTAATGAGAAAGATTGTGCATTTCTGTTCATTTGTGAGGAAATATTAGTATATGCCCCTTGATTGCCAAAGTACCCAGGGTAAGAATTAATAAGGGAATGAGTCAAGTAGTAGTCTGAGGGGTGGGGGTTATTAGTGTATGAGGCCAACCTCACTTAGACTACACATAATGGTACTACCCCTACGCCTGCTGTATATACATCCTGTTACCCCCAGAACTCTATCCTGGTGCTTCTTTTCTTCCCGTCGTACTATTTTACTTGATAGTCTCGTCTTCTTCCGCTGGATTCAGTTGATATCTTTAGGCTAATGATTTTTCGATCTACTTATCCAGTCCTAACTTTTCTTCTGATCTCTAGACTCACATCTCTAACTGCCTAATAGGCATCTCAGATTGGATGTCCCATAGACATCTTACCTTCTGTACATCAAACTTGAACTTCTCTTTCCCCCAAACCTTTTCACTTTCCAAACTTCCCTCTTACTCTCAAGAGCACCATCATCCTCCTAGATACCTAGACTTGCAACCTAGGTGTTATCCTCAGCCTCTCACTCTCTCTTACTTCCCACATCCAATCTGCTGCTGTTCTTGTTGGTTTTACCTTTATTACATTTCTTGTGTATTCTCTCTTCTGTCTTCTGACATTGCTGCCACCTGCTGCTGCCACCATGGTGCAGGAGCTTATCACCGCATGCTTAAACTATTGCAGTAGCCTGCTGGTTACTCTTTTCCTCAAGTCTCTCTCTTCTCCAGTTCATTCAGTTCTCAGCTGTCAAAATAATCTTCCTAAAGAGCAGATCTGACCATATCTTCCTGCATTCAAAAAACTCCTTTTTAAACTCTATCACCTCTGTGATCAAATCTAAAATCCTCTGCTTGGCACACACAGCCCCTCATGGTCTGGACCCTTCCTGCCTTTCCAGTCTTCTGATACCTTACACTCTCCCACACACTCTATGATCCAGAAACACTGTTCTGCTTGCTTTTCCTCACACAAAACACCACATTTCCAGATGCTGGGCATTTTCGTTGGCAGTTCCCTCTTCCCTAGAATACTCTCCCTCTTCATCTCTACTTTCCTGGCTTACTTTATTTCTCAGCTAAAATCCTAGCTTCTGTAAGTTCTGGTCCTCCTCAATGCTAGTACTTTCCCTCTGTTGATTATTTCCAATTTATCTTGTATATTTCATTTGTATGTAGCTGTTTTCATGTTTCCACTATTAAGCTCTGAGCCCCTTGAGAGCATTGGACAATTAATTAATGCATGTTGACTAACTGTTCCCCCTGATTGAATGTAAGCTCTAGCATAGAATGTAGAAGATACTTAATCAGGGATTGCTTGATTGATTATGCTGTAAATTGTTTTGTCATACTAAATTCTGAGGTCTTTTGAAAGGTAGAACTTTGGTGTATACATCACATTTCCTGGTTTTCTGCAGAGGCATCTTAACTAGTACATTGAGTGTATGACTTGGAAAATTTGGATTCAAATTCCGCCTGGTAGCCAAATGACCATGGGTAGATCATGTAACCATCTCTAAAGCTTAATTTCCTCACTTATAAAATGAGGATAATAATAATATGGATTTGTTGTGAGGTTCAAAAGATATAATGTATGTAATAAAAACATATTTTGCAAACTTTAAGGTGCTATGTAAATTGTAGATATTTTTATTATTTGTAGGTTTTTTGAGTATATTTTTATTTAACCCACTAAATGTTGACCATTTTGGTGGTGATTGTCAATTACAATAAAAAAAAAAGAACTACTATACATCTAGGTGGCCCAGTGGATAGAGTGCTAAATTCAGAGTCGGGAAGTCCTGAGTTCAAATCCTGTCTCAGTCACTAACTGTGTGAGGCTAGGCATGTCACTTAACCTCTTCAAGAATCAGTTGCCTCATCTATTAAAAAGGAGGTTTAATAGTTGCTGCTTCACAGGGTGGTTGTGAGGATCAAATGAGAATGCTTTGAAACCTTAAAGTAATATGCAAATGCTAGTTATATCATCATCATCATTACCATAATCATTAATAAACCTCTTGGCTATATTATAATCTTTAATTAGGGCTAAAAACCAAGCCTTATCAAAATGATCACATGTTGGAAGAATAAAGAGGACAGTTTAAACTATCTGAATATTCTTTTCCTAGATAATTTTATAACTTGTCCTCAATGCTTACCATTATATGCTAAGCCAATGACAAAAGATTATGTTTTGTACTATTCTTAAAAATAAGGAAAAGGGGCATCTCTATATTCCCTTATTGTAAGTGTTGTTCTGGTTTTTTGTTTTGTTTTGCTTAATTTCTATTTTTCCTCTTCTCCTATCAAGACATTTAACAGCACACACATCAATGGAAGAATACTTCTCAATGAATTTTCCTTTTATTCTTTTAAGTTTGACTTGATTATTCTACCAAATGGCTAACTTTCATTAATCATGCTATTGGAATTTTTACCTGGTGTCTAAATTAATTTTTATTTCTTTCTGCTCTTATAGTTTGCATGGTTACATTTCCTCTCATTTCTTTTCAGAAACCTTAAAAAGCTGTCAAGTGAAATGGAATTTATGACAATTAATGGAACAGCACTGAAGAATCTGGAAATCTTACAGAATCAGGTTAGGAAAATATAACTAGTTGATTACAAATTTTTGTTGGGGGGAAGGAGAATCATAGATAGTCAGTGCTAATGGATGCATTTGAAACAGAAGATTAATCCTTTGTGTCCCAGCTGACCATTCTCTTTCTTATCTGATCGTTACTTGGAAGCAGCAGTTTCAGGATATTAACTTTGAAGTAATGCATTGAGAGTCAGACACTGATAAAGATTTTTTTAGCAAGACATTATTTTTAAGAATTATAGTGAAAGCTGTTTTATAGTTAATTTCTTCCTGGGCTCCTTTTAAATTTTTCTTATGGTTACACCAAGAACCGTGTGAGATTCATGCAAATTGACTCTCAAATAAAACAAACATGATACAAAATTTAACGCTATAAACAATATAATATTTCATTTTTATACCAATTAATTGACAATATTTCTAAAGTAATGGAGACTTTAAATATTTCTTCCATTTGCTAAACTTAATCTTGCAAGTGAAGTATTATATTTTCAAGACAATATGAAATCATAAAGTTATAGGGCCAAAGGGACTTCAAGATTGTCTGATGAAACAATTGAGTACTTAAACTGTCCTATATCTTTCATATTTTTAAAGATCTCCTGGGATATTGCTGGTAACAACAATGATAGGGATTGGACCTATGATTTTACTGGTGTAGGGAACTCCTTCCACTAATTTAAGTTGGCACTTTCTCTGCAACCTACAGCCTTAGGAGGGTCAGTGAGAAGTTAAGTGATTTGGGTCACATAGCCAGAGTGTGTCAAGAGACAGGACTTGAACCCCACTCTTATTGACTTTAAAGCTGATTCTCTATTTGCTATGCCCGGCTGCTTTTCATAATACATTAAGGTAGATTTTGCACTTGGTCAGTCAGTCATTAAGTGCATACTGTATATCAACCAGTGTGTTAAGCACTGGGAACACAAAGGCAAGAAGAGAGAAAGACCCTTCTTGCCCTCAAGAAACTTATATTCTAGTGGAGGAATACCACATGCAAAAGAAAATTGAAAAGCAGAAAGCGGGAAGGGGGTAGAGGAGGAGAGACCAAGGGACCCAGGCATGATAGAGGAAGTCGGGCATACAGCCTGGAGGAGGAATGTGGTCAGCACGTAACTGACTTATGTCCCTCTCTTTTAGTTTTTCTTGCGTATCGTTGCCAGACAAATCTCTGGAAAACTCTTTGATCAATTTATTCCTTTACTTAACATTACACAATGGTTCCCTTTTCTCTGCCACCTGGCATAGAGGAAGGAAGGAATGAAGGAAAGAAGAAAATATTTATTTAGCCCCTCCTATGTGCCAGGCACTGTGCTAAGCACTTTATGAATATAAACTTTTTTTCATTCGTCATAATAATCCTGGGAGGAAGGTACTATTATTATCCCCATTTTACAGTTGAGGAACTGAGGGAGACAGAGGTTAAATAACTTGTCCAGGTCAGCTATTAAGGCCTGAGGCCTGATTTGAACTTAGCTCTTCCTGACTCCAGACCTAGTGCTCTATCCACTGCCTTGTAGTGGGAAAGATACTAGACTTAGATACAGGAAAATCTGAGCTCAAATCTGGCCTCAACAACACTGGCTGAGTTACTTAATTTGTCTGTGCCATAGCTTCCTCATCTGTAACATGAGAACATTGGAATCAATGGCCTGTAAGCTCTCTTCTAGTTCTGGAATCTGGTACTATGACCATCCGTTTGACTTTGTATGCTTTGTATACCAGCTTGTCCTACCTATTCACTCCTTAATTTCTTTACTCCCTGATGCAAATCTTCTTTAGATCTTCTTTTTGTGTTCGTTTCATTTGAAATACTTTCCTTTCTCTTCTGTTTGTACAACTTCTGTACCCCTTCTTCACTTCAGTCACTATCTTCTCCTGTACTCTTTCCACTCTAGATTTTTTAGGAACTGCTTTTTCCTGGATCTCCTTCTACCTCTAACTGCTTCTTCTCAAACTTCTTTGCTTGATCTTCAACCTTGTCATGACAACTGACTGTGTATGTCCCCCAGAGGTCTGGTCTTGGCCGTTTTCTCTTCTTCTGTGTCTCTTGGTGGTCTCATCAGCTCCTTTATCATGAGTCTTAGATCTGCTTATCCATCCCTAACATTTCTCCAGTCTCTCATCACCAACTTCCTATTGGACATTTATACCTGGATATCTCATAGACATGTTAAACTCAACATGTCCAGAATTGAGCTCATTATCTTTCCTCCCAAACCCATCCCACTTCCTAATTTCCCTATTTATTTTGAGAGCACCATGATGTTCCTATTCACCCATGCTCACAACCTAGGTATCATTCTTGACTCCTCATTCTCTTACCCCCTCCCATATCCAATCTGTTGTCACATACTGTAGTTTTTACCTTTATAACATCTCTTTTATGGCCCCTTCTTGACACTCATATAGCCACCACTTTGGTCCGGGTCTCAGTTACCTATTTCCTAGTCCATTGCAATGGCTTCCTAATTGGCCTCCCTACCTCAGGTGTCTCTCCACTCCAACCTATCCTGCACGTAGCTGCCGGAAGTGATCTTCCCTAAGTATAGGTCTGACTGTGTCACTCTTTTCTTTAGTAAACTCCAGGAGTTTTCTCTTATCTTCAGGATCAGGTATAAATTTCTGTTTGACTTTTAAAGCTCTTTACAACCTGTCCCCTTCCTACCTTCCCAATCTCACATTCTTTGTCCCACTATGTATTCTATAATCCAGTGACACTAGCCATCTTGCCATTCCTTACACAAGACACTCCCACTCCTGACTCTGTACCTTTTTCTGGCTGTCCCCAATGCATACAATGCTCTCCCTTCTTACTTCTTCTTCCTGGCTTCCCTGGCTCCCTTCAAGACTCAGCTTAAATCCCACCTTCTGTAGGGGGCCTTTCCTGATGACCTTCTCACTACTAATGCCTTCCCTCTGAGAATACCCAGTGTATATCTGGTATGTACACAATTGTTAGCATGTTGTTTGTCCCATTAGAATGGGAGCTCCTTGAGGGCAGAGACTATGTTTTTACTTTTTCTTATAGCCCCAGTATGGTGGCTAGCACATGGTAATGCTTGTTTACTGACTGACTGACTGACTACTTTAGCTAGTTTTAATCTCTCATATAAATAAATAATTTTTTTTTTACTTCTCTAGTAATTAGTACATAAGTTAGCATTTAATTATATACTTTCCTGTATTGTTAGCTAATTGTTTTATATTTGTTCAGGGTGTGAACTCCTTAACCCCTGCTATGGAAGTGTTTGTACTCTTCCTGGGCACATGCGCAGTAAATTCTTACTGATTGATTTGCAGAAAGAGACAGCTTTTAAAAATGAGCCCTTGAAAAAGCCTTAATATTTTAAAGAAACATTTTCTGCCTTTTACTTTTATTTGTGGGAGAAAGGCAGTTAGTAGGTAAACAAGTTCTTACTGGAGAATTAGTTGAAAACAAGGAATACTTCCTGCCTCACCTTACGGCACCCCCCCCTCCCCTCCATCCAAACACACCAACATCCAGCTTCCAAGATATCTCCAGGCATTCACTATGCATTCAGCTCAATTCTTTTTACCTCCTCTACCTGTAGTACTATCCAATGATCAATAGATTTCTTAAGGATAATCCTGAGGCATTGTAAGACCTGGAATAGTCAGAAAAAAGATTTAATTACGTTCAATGTTCTGTGTTCCTTAAGGCGGGCAATGCACCAGTACGTATTAGAATTTTACACGATTGAATAAAATAGCATTTTCTGATTCGTCTTTAGTTAAAAAGAAATCCATTTAACCAGAACATCCCTTTCCTTGAACATTAAATCATGGTTTTGCTGTATATGAAAAAAAGAAGTAAAATTTGGGGACGTCTAAGTAGTCATATATTTTATATTAATTAAATGGTTAGTTTAGATAAATAAGCAAATGTTTGTTTAGTTTTTTTTTAATGACTTGTTGGTCCTCCTTAGACAGATTCAAAATTCAGAGGCAGTTTGCTGTGGGTCTTAGATCACACTAAAACTCCTTTTGGGCGACGAAAACTGAAGAAGTGGGTGACCCAGCCGCTCCTTAAATCAAGGTAAAAATGGCCATTTTTGGTGTATCCTAAGGGTTTTTAAAAATTTTAATTACAATGATGTAGTAAATATCAGAGTCCTATAAGCTGTATCCCAAGATCTGTGTACAATTAGTGGTTACAGTGTATAACTAAAGCTTGGGAAAATATCCTTCAGGATGTGGTAATATAAGTCAGTCTGTTGTTTGTGGGATCTTTTTTCTTTTTCTTTTCACAAGGAAGGAGATGGAGCCTAATTTTGGAGAGCCTTTAGAATCCTTAATGAAGATTAACTTCACTATAGGGATTGGTAAAAGAACTTAGGGAGTGATCCTTATCAACTTGGCTTCTAAGTCCAAGAGGAACTGGCCAGAAATAAAGTAATTAAGGCCGTTGTTTATTGAATAGATATCTTCCTCTGAGTACCAGAGCAGAGGCCTGAATGCAGTTTACAATAGCCTATTCTTTGTTGTAGTTGTATGCAGTAATAACAGTAATGCTGTAGTAACCTGTCCTGTACAGTAGAGAGTTATATGTAACTGCTGTGTGTATTTCTCCATTAGCAGAGACCATCTTCTTGAGAACAAGAGGTTCTTTCTGTTTATGTACAGTCTACTTTTTTCTGGGTCTTGTTCTTTGTTATCATAGACTTGCTTCTACCCATAGCCTTAAGCAAATTTGGATTTTAATTTTCTTACTACTTTTTCTTTTTTTTGGTGGATAGGAATTCAAACAGAATATAAAATTATCTAAAGTAAGAAAAAATTTTTCTGGTTGACTCAACTGATTAGTATAACTTTGAGCCATCTGTAGAATGTGTCTCTTATAATTATCAGATTTTTTTGTTCTCTTTAGATAAGATTTTGGGGTTGCTGTTAATCTGTATACTTGTATACTGTTTTGTTTATTACATTAGGCCAGATGGTATTTTAACACCTTTGTTAAGACTGGTGGTATAGGGGGTAACCTGTAATTTCTTCCAGATATTACCTGTTGTGTCCCAGCTTTGTTGGGGAACAAGATAGCTTAAGGAAACCGTTAGTAGTAAATTTATGAATCTATTAAAATGGTTTATGTATTATGAAAATGAGAGGCAGTATGAAGTAGTACAGTGATTTCCAGTGTTTTTTGTTCCTTGAATCTTTTTCAACCAAAAAAATGTGTTGTGGACCCCCAGGGTAATTTTATGTACCACTCATAATACTCTTTCAGATTTCTTCACTAAGTGCTTACTGTAACAATGATGATAACTTGCCCCAAAAGTTCCAAAATAAAAGTTACATGATATAATTGTTATTATAAAATTTTATTCTGCCTATAATTATGAAAGCTCTAACTATATATATATAAAATTATGAAGCTCTAATTATAAATTGTTACAAATATTTTATATGAGACATTCTGTAAGAATTAAAAGAAGTAATCCATGAAAACCTCGTATGCTTGTTATTAGCTGAAAGACTTCATATTAAATTTCCTTATTTTTGTAAATATTGTAGAATATAAATAACATTTTAAGTGACATAAATTACATCTTGGAAGATGTTTTAATAATCATATATAAACTCAATTTCGATGTTGGACTTTTTATTTGAACAAAGTTTGCAATATTTGGCTCAACACTAGGCAGACATGGTCTTAAATTTGGTTTCACCTCAAGTTATTTCTGTACTTTGATTTTGGACAAGAATAAGTGAAAACACTTGCTTATGCAAGTGTGTGGTGAAAAATGGTAGGAGAATTTTACAAGCTCTCTTGATGAAAGATGGAAATCCATTTTTTGTTTTTAGTCACCTAACTAGTCAAGAAACATGAATGGCTAGTTACAGTATAAAATGTTTACTTTCTTACTGGCTAGTGACAAGTGCTGTATAAAATGGCAGATTTGCTTAAAGTACAGTTGCACATATTGCTTCGTTTTCAACAATGTTTATATAGAAACTAAGCTTTGTAAGGAAAGAATATCTTCAGACTGGACTTTCTTTTCTTCTGCTGCTGGCTATACCCTCACAGAAACTCCACTGAATGCCTTACCAGGGTTGCCGACCAGTTCATTTAAAAATCTGCCCGATTGAAGAATAGTCATGTAAGTGGAGGATAAGTTTAAATTGGAAAGTAGTCTTAACACTGCGGGGAGAGGCCATCTCAGGTTTGTTTCTGCAGAATGTTTGTGATGGTCTGCAGTCATCTCAGGTTGGCTTGTAACGCACATGCTGGGGGACTGTAGTTTTAGAGTATAGTTTTAGTCGCTCCAGGCATTTTCACTGGCTGTTCCCCATGACTGGAATGCTCTCCCTCCTCATCTTTTCATCCTGGCCTCCCTGGCTTCCTTTGAGTTCCAGCTAAAGCCCCACCTTCTACAGGAAGCCTCTTCCAATCCCTCTTAATTCCCTGGCCTTTCCTCTGTGAATTATTTTGAATTTATCTTGAATATAGTTTGTTTGTACATGGTTATTTGCATGTGGTCTCCCCCACTAGATTGTGAGCTCCTCTAGAACAGGGGCTGTCTTTACCTTTCTCTGTATATCCAGCACTTAGCACGGTATAGTGGGTACTTAATAAATGTTTGTTTGAATGGGGAGGGAGAAGCCAAATAAGTCACAACTCTCTCACTTAGCTCCTGGGTAAGTAATTAGGGACACAACAATCTCCCATAAGAGATTAAGTATACAACTTTCTATTATGGATGGAGAAATTCACCTTGGTTTGAGGATATAGCTTTCAATGAGTCGTGTGGACTGGGTGGAGAGAAGCAGAAATCTATGCTTTAAATGGAGACAGACTCAAAGGGAGCCAGGGAGGCCAGGATGAAAAGATGAGGAGGGAGAACATTCCAGTCATGGGGAACAGCCAGTGAAAATGCCTGGAGTGACTAAATTGAAGAGTATGGTGGGAGTGTAAGGTCAGATAAGACTGGAATGTGAAGGGACAAATTATGAGGGCTTCAAACACCAAATAGTGTTTTATATTTGATCTTGTAGGTGATAGGGAGGCACTGGTGTTATGGAGTCAGGTCAATATAATCCTGACATTGTCGGATCTGCTCTTTAGGAAGATCACATTCCAGTAAGATCAGGGGTAAAGCGCGGCTGTCTGTTATCACCGTTACCATTCAATATTGTACTAGAAATGCTAACTATGGCAATAGACAAGAAAAAGAAATTGAAGGAATAAACATAGGCAAAGAAGAAATAAAACTGTCGCTTTGTATAGATGACATAATGATGACTTAGAGAACCCTAGAGAGTCAATGAAAAAACTAGTTGAAACAATTAAAAACTTCAGCAAAGTTGTAGGATATAAAATAAACCCACACAGATCATTGGCATTTCATATATTGCCAACAAAACCCAGGTGATAGGATACTATTGTGCTATATGAAATGAAGAAGGGGATGGTTTCAGAAAAACCTTCCATGACTTAAATGAACTGATGCAAAATGAAGTGAGCAGAACCAGTTTAGTCACAAAAAGCAAGAGAAATATGGGATGATAGTGAGTGGGGCTTTACGGATCAAAAGTTTTTTGAGGATGAGGGAGCCAGGGGCATGTTTGTAAGCATTAAGGAAGCAGCTATAGGATGAGATTCAAGAGAAGTGAGAAATAGCTCCAACATACCTGTTGTCAACTATGGCACAACCAAAGAAGACAGAGATGAGGATTCTTCCCAATACCTTAGTGAACTCATTGACTTAAGTATTTCAGTGGATCTGTGGTTTCTTTAGTGTGAGTGTTCTTTCCACCAGTATAAAATGTAACTCTTGCGTAGTTTCTCATCTTGTGAGATGCTTGTCCTTGGTTTTCCATAAATCCTATTATAATAAAGGCCTCTTGAAGATAAGGGCAGTTTCTTTTTTGTCTTTGTGTCTCCAATACCTGGAACAGTACCTGGTACATAGTAGGTACTTAATAAATGCTTGTTGAATTAAATTCAATTGAATTCTTTTAGAACAGATATCAAATATACTAGTTTTCCTCTGGTTCTTTAAACATTTCATGGATACCAGTACAGCTTAGACTGTCTATTTGTTGTCCCTCACTGCTATTGTATACTCAGTCCATCTCCTTTTTTAATTTATAAATGTCCTTGATTGTTTTATGTTATTTCTTACACGTGAGACCTCATTGGTCATATTTTATTATACATATATATGTCATGTGTACTTTTATTGCCCTTTGGATCATCTGGAATTTTGTTACTTATGAGATTATGGTGTTTCATGGTTCACAGTCTTATAGGATCACTGGGATGATATTATTTTTACACCAAGTTCACAACAATATTCAACTCAGATTTCCTGTCATATCTTCTCTTAGATAATTTCAATGGCCACCACACAGCAGGGAATAGGAAGTTTCTCCTTTGAGAGCCATGACCCTGGGATTCATAACCCTCTTTTTCCTTTCATTTCCTCCGTAATACCCTTTCCTACTGGGTCTACTGGATTCAATTAGTCATTTTTCTTTTTTTGTTATTAGTAAATTGATATAATTTGTTTTTACATCATCTTTATTTCCCAGCGTATTCCTCTTTGTGCCCCTCCCAGACAACTATCCCTTACCAAAAGAATAAAAAAAAGAGAGGAAAAAAGCATTTTGGCTAAACTTGCCAACACATTGAAAAAGTCTGATTTTAGAGCAGTATTGACATTTGGAATCTCACATAGCTACAATAAGTGGGGAAGCGCTTACTTATGTCTCTCTCTTTTTTTTTGATCAGGAAGAACTTGGTCATTATAATTTCACAACATTCAGTTTCAGTTGCTTTATTGTTGCTGTTCATTTTATTTAAGTGTTGTCTTCATTGTACATATCATTTCTCAGGCTCTGCTTCCTTCATTTTGCATCAGTTCATCTAAGTTTTCTCATGCTTTCTCTGTGTTCATTATATGCATCATTTCTTACAGTACACTAATATCAGAATGCAAACTCCCTGAGGCTAGGGACAGTTTTCATTCTTTGTTTTGCTTAGCACAGTGTCTGGCACATAGTAGTATAAACTTAATAGATGCTTGATGACAGATTAATTTATATTTGGTCCCAATTTATGTAGCCATTCCTCAATCATAGACATCTTTATTTCCAGTGCTTTGCTACTCTAAAGAATGATTATAATAATATAATAAAATTATAGAGTAGATAAGATCCTAGTCTTCTTGCCCAACCCCCACCTATGTGATCATTAATTCATTGATTCCACAAGCTGTTATTAAGTGCCTACTATAAGCCAGGTCCTGTGTCAGGCACTGGGGAGGCAGACAAAAAGGAAGCCATATGAGTCCTCAGAAAGCTTAAGTTGTATTGGAGCAAACAATATGCACACACGTACACTTGTACAGACAAATTACTGTCCGGGACATAGCCGCTGGGAGGATCAAGATGGGCTTTTCACAGGATGTGGCCCCTGAGCTGAACTGTGAAAGAAGTTCGGGTTTCCAAGAGAGGGAAATTGAGGTGAGAGTGTATTCCAGGCCTGGGTAACAGCTTGTGTAGAGACACTGAAACAAGAAAATAGCTGTCATGTATGGGGAGCAGCAAGTATGCCATTTGGTCTGGAACATTGAGTGCACGGAGGGCAGTAATTGTCAGTAAGCCAACAGCTTATTGACGGGCAGCTGGGTGGCGCAGCAAGTAGAGCTTTGGGCCTGGAATCAGGAAGACTTGGGTTCAAATCCTACTTTAGACACTTCCTAACTGTGATTCTGGGCAAGTCATTTAACCTTTGTTTGCCTTAGTTTTCTCATTGGTAAAATGGGGGTAATAATAGCACCTATTTCCTAGGGTTGTTGTGAGAATCAAATGAGCTAATACCTATAAAAAAGTGCTTAGTACCGTGTCTGGCACACAGTAAGTGCTATGTAAATGTTAGCTTTTATTGTTATTATTAAGATTATGTTGTGATGTTACATTAATAGTCTATCATGATTTATTTATATTATATTATTATTTGCTATAGAGATTATAAATATAATTAGTAATAATAACTATAATAATAATTACCCCAGTAATTTAAGCTGGACCCAGATTATAAAGGACTTTTTTTTTTTTATAAAGGACTTTTAAAACCCAACAGAGGAGTTTGCATCTTATCCTAGAGGCAAGGGCATTCTGGAGCATCTTAAGCAGAGAAGCAACATGGTCAGATGTGTGCTTTAAGAAAATCACTTTGTCCCCTGGGTAGAGGATAGATTGGCAAGGGGAGGAGCTAGGGAGAGGCTGGGAGACCAATTATGAGGCTGCTGCAATAATCTAGGTGGGAGGTGAGGAGAGCCTGAATGAGGGTAGTGATTGACAAGTGGTTTTGAGCCTTCATTTAAAAACCTCCAGCTGCTGTCTCCTTAGGCAGAATGTTCATTTTTTAGATAGCTTTATAAGAAAGAAAATTTTCCTTATATTAAGTCACAATCTGTTGCCTTGTAGCTTTATTTCCATTAGTCCTAGTTTTGTCCTCTGGGACCAATGAGAACTGTAATAGGAAGAGTTCTGGATTTAATAGCAGAACTGTTGCTTTGAGTTCTCACTCTTCTACTTACTGCCTTTTGACCTGTTCAAGGCATTTTTCTCTGGGCCTCAGTTTCCTTATCTATAAAATGAGGGTGTTAGACTAGATGATTTTAAAACTTCCTTCTTACTTTAACATTTTGTGATTCTGTAATCCCTTTTCCACATGATAACACTTCACCCGTATGAAGATTTTGTCTTCTGGTTTTATAACCACAGCTAAGAGACAAACCCAGGACTTAGTTGGTATAATGTGCATAGAGGAGTGTTTATTATGTGTTTTTCTTTCTTTCTTTCTTTTTTTATTATGTTTTTGATGATGACTAAATCACTTAGCCTACCTCAAGAAGGTTAGTATTATTTCCTGCTTATAAACTTATAGTACGAGGAATTTGATGATTGAAAACTTTGAGGAGTTTGTGGTATTGTGTAGCTGAGAGGGGAAAAAAGACGTAGGTCATGTCTTTCTGTGGAAGGATTCCTTCCTCATCTGTCCATTGCACAGGTGGCCAGTCTTAATTCTTTAGTATTCAAGGTTGTCAGGAAGTAGGCAGAGTGCTGGTGCTCCTGAGGTTGGCTTGAGAGGAGTAAGCCTTGAGTGTGTTAGTATGGAGGAAGAGGCAGTGAGCTTAGGCAAAGGTTAAGGGCTTGGAGTGTGAGAGGAGAGAGCAGGATATAGATATGGGTCACTGTTTGTATGCATGTATGTGGAGTGAAAGTGACTTAATGCAGATTTTCAGGCATGACGTGAGAAAAAAGCAGTATTAGGGAACATGGAGGTTGCCAAGGGGACTTGAGATCCCCTTAGATATTCGGAAGTGACATGACATGGGAAAGGAAGAGAAGGTGAGTACAGAGAATAGGAGTACTCAGAAGGGCTTGGGTTGTCATGGATCTTGCTGGACAGCCCCTTCCCCTCTATGGGTATTACGGCATATGTATGGGAGTAGGGCTTCTGGCCTGGCTGTTAGGACCTCCATGCCATAAATATCATTACAGAGCAAGCAAAGATGAAAAGCTAAAAGATCAGGTTTTGTCTAGTGTGATTTATCTGAGTTTTGGGTAGTGAATTAGCCTTGAGATTTCTATTTTAGAAGGAGATTGTCTGCGGAAAGAGGGCCCTGAAGAGTAAGGGGACTGAACACTCCATTGATCTCTGTAATTCTTCACTCAGGTGATGCTGTAACAAAATTCAACAAGATAACTGCGTGCAGACATCCTACATATGATAAGATTGAGCAATTTTTAATTATTAAGCAATGAAGTATGGATATCTGAATAAATATACTAAGAAATTTTTATTATTTGATTTACTTTATTAGAACATCTAGAGAGAAATGCACCATCAGAACACTTGTGCAATTTAATTTTTTATTTATAGTGTTAAGTTTCATATATTTTTGTGTTATTAAAGCAAATTTGTATGGAGTTCAATTGACTATGTTAATGTGGTACATATGCCATGTTTCCCCTGGGTTCCAAGTAGGATGGACAGAAAATATGATGTGTATTTTGTATATTCTACTCCTATCATAAAAAACACAGACCCTATGTAAAATACAGTGTGACCCAAAAATCTTCATTAAAGCAATTTTAAAATTTAATAGTTTCAACTGCACTAAGGCTTTTGGGACACCTTCTATTCAAATTAGCCCAAACTTATTTTATCTGGCAGTATTTCCTTCCTTAGACTATTATTCCATGTGCTCTGTTTAGCTTTTAAATTTGTTTCTTTCATTTTTTTATAATGCTAATATTTGTTTTCCCAGCCCATTAAATTCTCTGGACAGTCTTAAAGTTAAGATTTATTGGTTCTTGTAGCAAGTATCTAACAAATCATTTGTCTATAATTGATGATGGCACTGTGGTAGAGAAAAAAATGTTGAGGCATCTTTGTGTTTGTAAATATCTAGAGAACAGTGACAAAATTAGTCAGTGGCTCAGATACCTGTTAATTGGGGTGTGTGTGTTTTTAAGATAGCATAAAATGTTAAGAAATAGCATACTGGAGTCTGCCCCAGGGTTCAGCTATAAGAAGTGGAAGCCAAGAGATATTTTATGGGAGAGTATGATTATCTGCTACATGAGTCAAATATCCCGTGGTATTTCCTCAGAGGTTTGTCTGCTTTGATAGATCAAAAGGTGTTGAATATATCCTCCAGACCCCAAGTTTCAAAACTTTTCTTTACCTCTTTCAAGCTTTAAAAAGTACCCTATTAGTCTAGGATTTTGTCAACCAGTTCATCTTTATTCATACCATTCATGATTTATAAAGTTCATTTATACTTCTTCTTAGCTTTTGTTTTCCCATAATAGTCTAAATTTTTAGTCTGCCTTCAAACAGAAACCCTTTCATCCTCTTGGTCACTGACTTTTAAAAAACTTTTATCTTTATTGGAATATGGCTGTACCAAGACAACAACCCAAAACATTCCATATCCTCAATAAGCTTACTTTCTATGGGGTTGTAGGATGGTGGTGGTCGAATATAATGTCATCTGAGCAATAACAAAGGGGATCAGAAAAGGCTTTGCATGAACACCTGTGCCAAATGCTTTAAACGAGGCTTTGGATTCCAGGGATTTTGAAGGAGAAGTGGGAGTACATTCTAGGAATAATGGAGTGGATAGTTTGTGCCAAGGTATGGCAATGGAGATGGAATATTGTTCAGAGAATGCCTTAGTAGGCTAGACTGGAGGTGAAGGTAAAGAATTGGAAATATCTAGAGAGGTATGTTGGAATGAAATTGTGGAGGTCTTTAGTTTCTAGGATGAGAACTTCTTATTTTGTCTTAGAGAGAATAGGAGCTATTAGATATTTTTTTTGAGGTGTGTGTGTGTGTGTGTGTGTGTGTGTGTGTGTGTGTGTTATGATTATGTTTGTGCCTCAGGAAAGTTATTTTAACAGCTCTTTGGAGGTGCATAGATGGGTTCATGATTTTAGAGTGGGAAAGGAGTTGAGAGACCATTTGATTCAACCCTCTCATTTTATAGATGAGAAAATGGAGGCCCAGGTAAGTATAAGTGAGTTTTCTGCAAGGTCACACAGATAGTAAGCACCAAAGGTGGTATTTGAATCTAGGTCCCTTGACTCCAAATGTATTGCTTTTTCCACTGTGGATATTTTGGAGACTGAGTGGAGGGAGACTAACTAGTAGGCTGTTGTCATAGTTCAGATGAGCCATGAAAGAGAAAGCTCATTGTGAGACATATGAAGGTAGAGTCAACAATTTTTGGCAATTGGTTAGATAAGGAAGGATGTGTATGTGTGTGTGGTGGGAGGCAGAGATGTTGAGTGATAGAGGAAAAGGAAGAATGGAAGGGAAAGTCCAAGATTTTGAACTTGGTTGATGGCAAGGATATGTACCTTCAACAGAAATAGGAAAGTTTAGAAGACATGCATGTTTAGGGGGTGAAGGGGTTCATTTTGTTCATGTAAGGTCTGCGTAACTTGTTTGATGAGGCTCATTGCTAGAAGTTTGTCCTAAGAGTGGTGAATTTTTCAGGCACAGCCGCTCATAAGAGCTGTCTGTTTAAAAATAAAGAGAGACTATAATGCGTATCTGTTGAGTCAGACCCATCCTGGCAAAATCATTGATCCTTGAAGTATTTGTATTTGATGTTTTTTCCCTTCTTATACTTCTCTGTTTTATTAGTTACGTAGCAATCTTGTGAACTTAATCTTGTTGCTCCAGAGCAGTTATCTAAACTTTTTTGATAGTGTACTTTGTCAGTAATTTTTTTTTCCTATTGCGTATATAGTAAGGGGAGGGGCAGTATGATTTTCCCCCCAAAAGATAACTGAGCAGTGACTCCATTGAGATTATTTTATAATTTCCTCAGAGAGTCTATGCTTGTTAGGGAAGCTGGGGAAAGTTAAGAACATGTACAACTGTGGGAGGGGGATGGAGTGTGAAAGTATAGAATTATAATGGGAGAAAAGTAGGTATGATT